TTATTGCAGGAGTTTTGAAGTTCAGTTATGCAAAGGAGTTTAAGATAACACGAATGAGTCATAGAGTTCAATTGCTTCTGGGTGCATACCATATGACATTTCCTTTGAAAAGTGTTGACAAAACGATTGAGATGAAATCTGTTCCATACGTATGTTATGGTAATTGTTTGTACATTGAGTCTAAAATAGCTAATGTCACAGGCATTTCAGGAGTTAATAGTAAAGGTTCAGTAGAATATAAGTCTTTCTGTTATGCAGTCAATTCAATGTTCATTCCAAACGTTCCTGTCATAGCAACTCATTTAGGTAAATGGATTCGCATTAGTCCTCATAATTTGAAAGACATGCAATTCAGACTTGTTGACTTTCAAGGAGAGCCTGTAGAACTGAAGGCACCAGTGCGAATGACTGTTGAAGTAGACTTTTTAGAAAATATTAAATGCAACAGCTTACAAGAGAACTCAGAGCTAAAAATATAAAGTATGAATGTTATGTATTAGGTCATGAACTTTGGTTGTTGCTGTTTGATGAAACAAATGAGTTAGTTATGTCAGTCAAGAGAACAGAAAAAGGCGTCAAAGGCGCCGAGCGCAAAGCGCTATATTGTGTTAGTGAGAACTGCACCAAGTCAATAAGATTAGGTTTGCATTATGAAGATGAGTTCGATACTGTTGAAGAAGTTTTGGATAGATACTATAAGTTGCTTTAATTTACTAAAACATATTTCAAACATAATTTATATTCTGTTGAAAGTTTTGTATACTCGTTCGAATATTTATACTTAAACTCAACTCCTGTAGTTCCTGGTGTTTCAATGATGCGGATGTTACCTATTTTCATGAATGGTGGCGTTTGACCACAGCATTCGATTTCAGGGTCGAGATAGTCAATGACACATTGTTTCCCTGTTATTCGTGATATAACATTTTCAAGGTCCTCCTTTGTTAGAATTATTTGGTTCTTGCTTATAAGATTTGTCAAAAGCTTCTTATCGTCTTTGAGTAAAATTGTTTGGTATAACTGAAGAAGGTAATGGTCTACGTTATCTGAAGGCTTTGTTTGAACATTTGTGTAAGGGTTGTCGTTGGCTTCTCTTGAAAGAATTTGGTCCAGTGGTGGATACTCTAACTTAACATCTGATGTAGCGTTAGCGTTTGAAGCTGTGTTTAAATTCACGGATTTCAGCTCTGGTTCTTTTTCTTTCAAACACTCTGAACTATAGTTCTTTATGACAATATTGTTTGTCGTTCGTGAGTCAACATTTGATGTTGGTTCAATTGGAACATTAACGGCACCAGCTAAGATGGATTTGCTTCTCATTTCATATAGAATAAAAACCTTTTATATGTATGAAATGAACAATATACTCGACAAGGGTTTGAATGTAAAGCTAACGAATGAAAATATTGTTGAATTCACTGAGACAGGTGCTGTGTATAAAGATGTAGAACTACTGAACAAAAGAGCTAAGGGAAGAAGCAGGAACATGAACAAAGGGTGGAAGCCTATAAAAATTTATGTCAATGATGGCTCAGGAGGTTCAAACATAAAGTATGCAGAAAGTTATAGAGTTTATGCGCTAAAAGGTGAAAAGCCTTCATTTAAGAACAGCTATTCTAACGCATATCCTCAAAAGTTAACGGATGGGGAAGTGGATGATATGAATGACAGCAAAAATATTAACAGAAATGGCGACAGAGATGCATGGAATTTGTTTACCATCAGTCAATTGAAGGTTAAACTTTAAAACAATGTTGGTCGTTCCCATGGAATATTTTTGACTTTAATGGTATTAGTCATGATATGAATCTCAAGGTATGAACGAGGAGAGATGAGAGACTTATATGCTTCCCAAATTTCTTCAAAAGGTAATGTTATACCTGACTGTTTCCAAATGAGTTCAATGTATAGCGTGAGAAACCTTGAAAGATAACGAAGTCAGTTATGAGACGTTTTATGTTTAAAGCAAGGAAACGCCATGTTTGCATAAGTATTGCTACAGTTAAGTGGTAATGTCTGACTTTAGTTATGATGTTAGCTAATGGTGAGTCTGCTTTTGACACTAAACCTTTTCCGGCGAAGTCGTCACAAACGAGCAGAGTGTTTGAAGGATACTTTTTGAAGGGGTATTTTGAAAGTTTTGATAGAATGTAGTTTGTCAGTCGTTTCATATCGTAAACTCCTGAGTACTGACGTAAGTGGTGTTTGTCAATAATTCTTTCCATCTCCTCAGAAGTCTTTTGCATTCCTGACTGTATAAATTCAACGATGGCATAATATTTCTCTTACGTCGAATGTAACGTTGAAGAAATTCAATGAGTTCACTGTCTGGAACTTTAACGACAGAGGCTTGAACTTTTGACATAAATGTTTTCGCTGTTGAATCCATAGAGTCTGAAGTTGCTGATATAATGATTTGGTCATAGTAAGAGTCGTTTCCTAAACGCTCTGTTATGAGTATATGACGAATTAAATTAAATGTCTTACCTGAACCCATCTTTCCACAATAGAAATAAACGCCATTTGAACAGAACTCATAGTCCTTACTGAAAGGAAGAATGAGAGAAGAGTTAAGTTTGTCTGTAGTTTCATTCATGTCTTCATCTACGTCATGTATTAAATGCTTCATTTTATCTCCATTAAAAATGCAAGTCAGAAATATTCAGAACATAGCACCGAGTCTAACTGACAAGAGTATAAAGATATACTATGAACACGTTATGATGAAACCAACCAAAATTCAAGAAAGTCAGTATACTTATGAATATCCAAGCACTGGGTAGAGTATGTAGGAGGTGAGAAAGCTATTGAAATCAGACAGGTTCGAAGTATTCCAGCAGGAAGGACAATATTATTGAAGAACTTTAATGTTTTGAGGTATAATGATGAACAAAGAAGCAAGATAGTTTTCCTGTTGCTGTGTATGTGAACTTAGATACAGGAGATGACATGAAAGTTTTTAACACAAAGCTTCAAACGGTAGTGAGAGAACAACTGACTGCGGAAGGGCATCCATTACCTTCAGAAGTTACCATAGCATATAATTTTGAAACAAACTCAATAGATTTTAAAGTCGTCTCTGCAAAGAAGTCAGGTTTTACATTTAATGAAGCAGATGTATATTCGAATGAAAACTTCAAAGCTATTGCATGGTTAGATAATGACGATTGCTTTAAGAAAATATTTAAATTCAGTGACTCAAAGATGTCAATAGATGACCTTCGTGGAATGTTACCATCGACGTTTACAGTTGAAGGTTCAGCAGGATTGCTTACAAGATTGTCAATTGGTGGTATTTGGTCTCGTGAGAACATTGTTATAAAATCCAGTATAAGTGAATTTGCTGAAGAATCTATATTATGTCTTTCAAACTACATGTATTCGCCACCGAAGCATTATAGTATAACAAACTTTGTCAGTAAGTTTAACATAAGACTTGTCGAACCTTCTTCAATGAAAGATGTTGTGCTACCTAAAGATGGAAAGGATGGACTCATTATTGAGATGATTTTAATAGCATATTAAATGAGCTTGTTCTTGAAGGTCATTCATGATGAAATAACTGTTGTAGAAGATGTTAGCAATTGTTCAGACATTTTGAAGCGAATAGATGATATAAGAAAGAAGTTTATGAATGAGAATGTTTATGTTTCATTGACTTTCTCCAGTAACGAGAACTTTTGAGATAATATTGAAGAGAGATGATTTTAATATGGTGTAAATGGTAGCTTGGGCAGCTTTAGGCGCAATGGGAACAAAAGCATTAGCATTTGGAGCAAAAGCACTTGGAGCTTATGACGCAGTAAATAAAATGAGTGGAGGAAGAGTTTCGAAGACATTAGATGCAAATAAAGGAAAGATTGGAGGCTGGGTTGCAAAGAAGTTAAGATTAAATAAAATAGGGCTCATAAATAAAGCATCCAATTTGGTTGCGACTGAGTCAGAAAATGCTTTAGGAAAGGACGATGAGTTTGCAAAACACGCAAAAGACTTTAATGACCAGATGAAAGGTGAAACAATGCATTTAAATAGATTCGATGGAACTAAAGAAAATGTTTCTTCTCCACCAGTAGTTCTTCCGTATGGTCCCTATGGAATGTATGGAAATCCTTACGAAAGACCATTTGACCCATTGACTGGTGGAAGTAACTGGTATCATTACGGACGAAGAAGAAAGACAGTCAAGTTGGAGACAGACGTGAAGAAAGCAACTAAAAAGAAACCAAGGAAGAGAGTTATAAAGCAATGAATTCAACAGGTTAGAAAAGAGGTTAGATATCGGGTTAGATCTAACCTTCTACCCTAAATTTATTTTTGTGCTATGTTTTCATACGTGTGAGGGTGGTGATATCATTAATTTTTAAGTTTATTTTTTATTTTATTTTTATTTTATTTGGATGTAATGACAGAACAAAAGCAACTCATACAAATCAAAACATATAACAAACATACATTTAAACATTTATTCTTCCTTCCTGAGCATAACATGTTCTTTCAAATACATCCGAGACCAGTTGACTTTTCATTGACTGTTTATAAAGATAGAAATAGTTATATCATTAAACCATACGATGACGAAGGTAAGTTATGTAAATTGTACGTTAAGAAGTTAGAGAAAGTTTATGGCTTCAAGTATGACTACAATAGGGTTAACACTGATGATGAAGATATTGAGGAAAATTTATGAGAACATTAGTGAAGTCGTTAGTGAGAACGATAGTGAGAACGTTTATTTTTACATTAGTGAGTTCGTTAGTGAAGTGAAGTGGTTGGCGGCTTTGTAAATATTTAAGGTTAAGTTAGTGTTGTCGTTTGTGTTGTAAAATACACGTTAACGGTTTTGTAAAGTGTCAAATTCACAAGTATTGGGTAAAGTGGAACGCAGTGCCGCCGTACCCAATACTTGTATACTAACTGACGAAACTGTTTTGAAAGATCTTTTCCATATTGGACTCTCTCTTGAAATCCAAGAACTGACCAATTTATATAAAACACTTATTATGGACAACATGAAAATCGACAAAAACAATTGCATTCAATTACTTGAATTTTATTTCGACATTTGTTCAAACGATAAAGTAGTTGAATGTTCCAAATTTATAGCATCACATTTCTTTGAAATTGATTCTAATCAACTTAAAAATATTTCTAAAAAACTTGGAATTGACATTCTTCAGCAAATATTTAGCAGCGATGAACTTACACTTGAGGATGAAGATTCATTAGCAAATTTCATCGTTTCTCTAACACAAGAAAACAATGATTTCTATCAATTGATCGAAAACATTCATTTTGAATTTTGTAATGAAAACATTATTAAAAAGATCAAAGATCTAGCAAATTCAAATAACTACCAAAATATTGTAAACTCACTTTCAGACTCATTAGTCCGTTCAAGAAATCATAGCACTAAGGACAGAACTATATATCCCTCTATTAAAACAAAATATTTCGAAAGTGGGAATGTTGAAATGCCTGCTTCATCAATAAATCATGGATCTATTGATATAATTAATAAACATATTGATGATTTATTTTTTGAAACACAAAATTTCCCTAATTCATGGGTTCAATGGAAACTAAAGCAAAATTATTCGATTGAACCAACTGAATACTTTGTTAGAACATTTTCGAATTGTGGAAAATACAGTAGTAGCCGCCTTAGGTCATGGAAAGTTGAAGGTACTACCATTAGTGGAGAAACTAAAATTATTCATGAAGTAGATAATTCACCACTAAGTAATGGAGAAATAAGAATTTATCCACTTAAAATAAATGATAAATTTATATCATTCAAATTAATTCAAATAGGCACAAGCTTGCTATTAAAATTCTGTATAACGATTCACGCCGATAAATTTAATTTGAATAGTAATCTGACAATGAGATTATCAGACTCAAAAGTCAAGAAATAATGATAATTATCATTGAAACCATATTAATTACTGCATAAAAATAAAGAATATAATATTATTTTAAAAAATGAAAATTCTTCTAATTATTGGATATCCAATAATTATTTGAAAATATTTTGTTTGGATGATCATTCGAACTGCCTATAAAATGTGCATATTTATTCTATCATTTTCCTTGACTTTTTTCAATTTTTATAACAAATCGAAAAAATTCATCAATATAACAATGAATGATTTCAAAAAAGTTGGAAAAGTTGAAAAACATCATATGTGCATTCGGAAATAACTCTCTCCAGACACACTTGAAATTTCTCATTATTGTTTTAATATATATATACTAAGGAAAAACAGTGATGACTTTTGTTTGCGTCTAGATGTTTTTGATTTTTCAGGAAAAGTTTACATTGATAAGTAAAACTCATCAATTCCAATTTTTTTGGGTCCCTTTTCCAATGAAATCATAATTCCAAAAACAATTAGAAGTGATTGGTATTCCAATATTGGAGTATATTTATAATATTCTGAATTAATAAAAGCTTTATTTAACCATGTCCATATTCCTTTTTTATGTTAATAATCAGTTGCTGGAATTGGAATTCTTTTATGAAGCTGGCTCCGGATACGCAGTTAGGAAGTTTCATATGTTTGTTATTCTCTAAATTTTAGAATGATTCTATTTACATCTTGACAACCGAAACAATAAGAATTACCGAAAAAGTGACAAAATATCAAAAACAGGGAGGGGTCTCAATTTTTATTACTTATATTATTTTACAATATTTATATAAATACTCTTTATAATATATTTTACTATAAAATTATACCTCAAATTCAAATATTTAAAATATTATTTACATAATTATCTCAAAATTATATTTTTATATATTATTTCATATGTATAAATCATATAATCTATATCTATGCAAATCTCATCTAAAATTTTTTGAAACAAACCGCTACCATTTTTATAATGGTCCATCTTAAATTCATCATAAATTCTGGTACATGTTAGTACCAGAGTCTTCAAATCTCAAACACTCTGGTACCAACATGTACCAGACGCGAGTTTCCAATGCCTCGTACGATTTTCTATTAAGATCTTCTTGAATGAGAAGGTCTTCATAGAAACTCGTACGAGGGCTTCTCTTTTAAATACTCTGGTACTTGCTGGTATCGGAGTCGACTTTACAGCCCTTTCCCCAATTTTGAAGCTGGGGAAAGTTTTCAAGCAATGAAAGGGAAGCTCTCGCTATGAGGTGAAAATCTAGAATTTTACCTCATAGCGAGTAATCCTTTGTTAATTGCTTGAAAACTTTCTTCAAATTATCAAAATTTCGAGGAAAGTTTCCTTGCTTCAAAGTAGAGATGGAGCCCTTTGAGCCACTGCATATAGGTCAGTGACTCAAAATACTCCATCTCTACTAGAAATCGCCAAAATTTGGGTCGCAATCTTTGAAATGCGACGCAAGTTTTGGCAATTTCGCGAGGGACTTGCTCCATTTGGTGCATAGATTCACACTCTATGCACAGATGGAACATTCTTCGCTGACAGCGGAAACTTTGTCTGAATAGTTTAACATTCAGACAAAGTTTTCCGCTGTCAGAGAGGGAATGGAAGGGTAAGAGGTATATATTCATAATGTATACCTCTTACTCTTCCATTCCTCAAGAAAGTTCAAAAACTTGGGTGCAATCAGAACTGATTGCACCCAAGTTTTTGAACTTTATATAAGGAATTGTTGGCTATGATGTACTGATCATGAATCAGTACATCATAGCCAACAATTCCTTCGCAAACAGTGGGAAACTTTGTCTGAATAGTTTAACATTCAGGCAAAATTTCCCGCTGTCAGGGAGGGAATTAGAGGGTGGGAGATATATAGATAGACTATAAATCTCTCACCCTTTAATTCCCTCAAGAAAGTTCAAAAACTTGGGTGCAATCAGAACTGATTGCACCCAAGTTTTTGAATTTTGTATAAGGAATTGTTGGCTATGATGTGGATAGCCGCTGCCAGACCAAATGAATTAACCGTTGTGAATAACGTTTCTGAATCTTTATTTAAAAAGATAAAATATCACGATTTTAAAAAAAAAAAAAAAAAAAAAAAAAAAAAAAAGGTAGTGGGGCTTCCAGGCACTTCGTGCCTTCTAGCCCTGATGTTGATGTTTAGTATAAATGAAGTTTTTATTCGGAGGACTCTTCTTCTTCCTCTATTGCTTCTGGGAAGAAGCCTTCTTCTGGGTCGAAAACATTATATAATGTGTCGCTTTTCACAAATTATATATGTTTTCATGTTTTGTCACTTTTCTGTCACTTTTCAGGAAAAAACATTTTTATTATTATATATAAATGAATTTTACCAAACCACCGTTACCGTTCTTTGGAAATAAGAGTAGATGTAAAGATATTATATTGAGAGAACTTAAGAAACTACCGAATGGTCTAACATTTGTAGATTTGTTCGGTGGAAGTTTCTATATATCTCATTTATGTCATATAATATTCCCAGACTCAAAGATTATATGCAATGACTTCGACAACTATATGGACCGTCTCAAACATATTCCAGACACAAACAATATATTGAAAGAGTTAAAAGAAAAGATACCTATAGGTAAGATGGAACGTATACCATTAGATAAGAAAATAATTGTGAGAGAGGTTTTGAAAAAAGCAGAATATATAGACTGGAATAGTATATCTGCTAGACTATTATATAGTGGTGCTATAAGAGTTCATGACATTGAAACACTTATGTCAAAAGTTTTATATCTTAACTATACAAATGTTTTCAAAGAGGACATAGAAAAATATATTGAGGGTATAGAGTTTGTGAGATGTCATTGGACAGATTTGTATGAAAAATATAAAGACAAGGAAAATGTTTTCTTTATAGTGGACCGCCGTTCTATAACACATGGGATTTTCAATACCAATAGACTGGACTTTGAGAGACTCTTTAGAAACTTTAGACGTTTTACATAACCATCATGCTTTTACTTTACATCCGATAAAAGTGGTTTGGAAACCGTTATGAGTGGTTAGAGACATACATGACTATGAGTTTATATATGACAAGATAGAATATGAGAGAGGTCCTATAAACTGGAGAAAGTGTCACAATAAAGAAATTTTATTAGTAAGTAAATGTGGTTTTGAAATAGGATACTTGTTTTAGTGTTTTTCCATTGTGTCATTTATTTCTTTGACGTGGCAGAAAAGTACAGAGAATATGAAGATGAACCAATGCCTGCAAATGTTCAGTATATGTACTCGTAAGAGATATTTTTATCTAATATTAAATGGACGCACAGAACTTAGCGAATGCACAGCAACCTGGACAACCAAACCCAGAGAATATTCCAAATGAAGTTAGAATACAAACTGCAATGGCAAACTATGGTCAAGTGCCAACAGATGTACAAATGCAAACTGCCATGTCAAATGACGCTGCGTTAGGTTTGCCACCATGGTATGCAAATATGAGATGGAAAGAGTTTTATACAAACCCTGAAGTGGGATATAAACAACTTTATGCAGATGACGCGAACACAGGAGTTGACCCAGAATATGTTTTCTACCAGAGGAGAAACAGAATGTATGAGCTCCAGTTAAAGAATGCTATGGAACTCAACAGGAAACGTAAGAGACTAGGCGGACATTAGATTTTTACATATAGTAAAATGGGTTTCTTCAGTAAGATAGGAAACTTCTTTCGAAATGTTGGAAGAGGTATATGGAATGGAATAAAAACCGTAGGAAGAGGAATTTGGAACGGTGTCAAAAATATTGGTAAAAGAGTAGGTCAGTTCGTTGGTATTATACCTAAAGACCCTGAACCAGAAGAACAAGCTCCTGTTATACAACAGCCTGAACCTGCACCACAGTCTAGTTGGCAACCAAATCCAACACCTCAACCGTATTAAAAAATTATATTTTTACCGTTCGATAGTAGTTGTATATGAAACTAAGTTCTAAGTAAAACGCATGGTATAATGGAATTATTCTTTTTCTTCCATCTGTAGTAAACCATACTTGAAAGTCTGAAATACTTCCACTTGGTGGTTCGTATAACTTTGTAGGTTTTTCGTAAAAGTCATTTGCCAAGCATAAGAAAGAGTTTTGGGCGCCAGAAAATGAAGCATGAACAATAATAGCAGCTGGGTCGAAAACATCTTTAAATAAATATGGTTCATCTCTTGCATATCGACTGTAAATATTTGCTAAAGGAAGTTTGACTTTCTGATTTAACATTCTTTGCAAATAATACCATGACATTGCAGTGAATTCTGTATATATTTGTTCGTCTTTCTTTGGATTGTCTTCGTAGATTTGAAATGACACTTGTGAATTTTGTTTGTCATATACAATTCTCACATAAAGTGTGCTCTCGGTATTTGCATATTCATCAGCATATTTTGCATAACATGAATTTATTTTATCTTCTATATTTTTTAACGCAGTCTGTAGAGAAGATGAAAGGTCAACTTGTATTAGCTCAATTTCTTCCCACATTTTTCGTTTCCTTCAGATATATAATCTATATGAAACCTTACAATAAATGGAAAACTTTTATCTTCTACAGACACAAACTTCATTCTACGAAAGCCAATAGCTTTTGTGACAGATGGGTCTCTTAACCATCTTAATGGGTAGTCAAAACGATAGCCTTCATGCTTTACGGTCTCTGTCTCAAACTTTTGACCGACATTAGTAAAAGTTCATCTAATGGTTTAGTTGTAGCAACTCTTGAATTTTCTTTTTCTATTGGAAGCATATTTTATCTAGAATAAAAATGTCAAATGAAACAGCGTCTATGAGAGAAATACAACACACCGACAACTCATTATGCAAGCTCTAAATAAGAACACAACAAACTTTTCAAACTATTCTAAGATATCTGAGTCATTGAAAGAAGGAAACTTAAAACTGACATTAAACCCAATGACAGATGAGTTTCTGTTTCAAGACAATAAGAACCATACTGTCTGTATAAATCAACAAAAGGAACTTTAAACGAGAAACCTATAGATGAACTTCTTTTGAAAGCAGATATTGACAACAAAGCTGACAAAGAGTATGTTGACGATGCAATAGCAAAAGAAGAAGAAAGAGCTTAACAAAGCTTATGCAACGAAAGAGGATGTTGAAAAGAAAGCTGACAAAATATGTTAACGATGAGTTAGCATGCGTGGCTAGTGCGTTAGTGAAGAAGGCAGATAAGGAATATTGGATGAAAAAGACAATGAAATTAAAGAAAGGGTTGACTGGTACCATGAACGGACAACAAAGATTTTAAAACGAAAGCCGATACAGGATGGGTTTCAGGATGTTTAGACCTTAAAGCCGACAAACCATACACATACCATTGCAAATATTACAAACTTACAAGAAACCTTAAACAGGAAAAGTGACGTTGGACATACACATACCATTGCAAATATTGCAAACTTACAAGAAAAGTTAGATGACAAAGCTGACAAGAACCATACACATACAGTTTTACAACTGTTGCTATAGAAAATATTGCAGGAACGGTTGAAGAAATGGTGGGGATGTATTAGATTGGAAACCTCCTAACTTTCCAGAAGGTTTAACATCGGATGACGACATAACGACGATGAGAAACATTAGATGTAAAGATGTTTATGTCATGAAGGATGAACATAATATTAAATTCACTGCTCAAGATTTATATGACAAGAAAGCAGACAAAACAGAGCTTCAAACATTAAAGACAGAAATATTCAAACATTTACCGTTGGTTCTATTTATACGTCAATGAACTCTACCAGACCAAAGTAGTACTTGGTTTTGGAACTTGGACTCAAATACTCGAAAGTTTTTTGTATTGTGCACACACTCCAAAGAAAACAGGTGGAAGTAAAACGATATCTGTCGACAACTTGCCACCACATAGTCATTCTGGTACAACAAACTTTTCTGGCGACCATAGCCACTCATTAAGAGACCACCCATTATACAACTCAGAGTATGAAGCTGGCTATGACGTTTTATCTCCAGATTATAACCATTCAGCAAAAAGACTTTTCGACAAACTGAACCAGGAGGAAACCACCAACATACTTTTACAACAACATCTACAGGACTAGGTAAAAAATACATGCCACCTTACATGACAGTTTGTGCATGGTATAGAATTGCTTAGTCGTCATTTTCAACTTCTTTAGCATATTCGTCAGGAGTTGTCTTATATTTGTTAGGAACTGTCTTTGAAAGTATACCACCTTGAACTTTGACAAGTTTGAAACGAGGTCTGACAATAGTAGTTTTATCTTCTGCTTGCAGTCTGTACATTTTGCCATGTTTGCCTAAAACTTCATAATATTCTCTTGTATACTTTCTTCTATTTTTACGAACACGAATGTGAGTACCTGTCGGGTTCCCATTGTTGTCATAGTCAATAGTATTTTCATATGGGTCGCGTTTAGGTATTTCTATTTTTACTTTGTCACCTTTCTTAAGTTTGAAGCCCGGCATTCTTTCTTGTTTGTCTCTTTTGACTAAACTATTAAATATATAGTCTTTCTCTAAGTCGGGGTTGTTTTTCATTTCTTCGGGGAGTGGTTTCCCAAACCTTTTTGTTTACGGCTATTGTAAATATTTAAAACTTGTCTCATCTTTGCCATGGAGAAATGTCTATATTTGTCGTCATATGACATTTCATTTGCTTCACCACCTTGTGGTTGGTTTAAGTCTCTTAAGATTTTTATACAACTGTCAATGACACCAAGAGCAGAATGGTTTTGGTCGACAATGAAATATTGGTTTACATTTTTTGAACGCAGATAGTTTTTAATATCGTCTGATTTGAAAGAACTTTCACAGTCAGATGTCAGTTTTGTTGGATGGTATTTGTCAACAAATATTGTCAAAGCAGTTTTCACATCTAAAATATTTTTGGACTGTAATGGTATGGCTTCACAGTATCTTGTGTTTTGACCGACAAATATTAGCCAATATGGTGGTCCATCTTCTCTATACCTCGGAATGTTTTCCAAGATATCCATAAACCAAGCATTTGGTGTTGAACTAAAGATTTTTACCATGAGTGCTTCTTTGTTGCCTTAGAAACATACGGGTCCTTGTTTGAATTCGTCATTTTAACCCATAAGAAATGGGTTTATTTGGCGCATTAGCAGGAGTCGCATCTAGATTTTTGCCCGCAGTGGAACACTAGCCAGAGGTGCATTTGGAATTGGAAGGAAGATTTTGAGTACATTAGGTATACTTAAAGAGAAAGCACAACCTATTATACAAACTGTACAGAAAGGTTGGGATGTAGCACGAGATGCAGCAAATCTTATTCCAAATCCTGAAACAAGAGGAAAAGTTCAAGGATGGATGGACAATGTAGGAAGACAAGCAGGAAACTACTATAACAAAGCAAATGACTACTATAACCAAGCAGGACACTACATGGACCAAGGTGAAAGATTCTTTAACAGAGGATATAACCATGCACAACAGTGGGTAAACAACAACCAACCGCAACCGCCTCAAACGTGGGGAATGTAAATTTTTTTACTGAGATGAAATGAACAATACAGCATTGAGACAAATGGGCTCAAGATGGATTTGTCGGCTTCCAGCAGTTACACAACCACGTGTTTGTCAAGTTCTTCCTATACCTCAGGAAGTTTTAGACCGACTTAAAAAACCTAAACAACCAGTTGAAAACAAAACAAACTAAAATTTTTACTTGAGATGAAATGACCGAAGAAGTTGAAACGGTAGATTTGACACCACAAAACAAAAAGTTCAGAACCATTGTCAAAACCTGTCAAAAACTTACAGATGAAGAGAAAAATTCAATAATAGAAAGTGCCAGGTCTGGAAATACAAACCCTAACTACAAAGTCACTTTTCATAGAAATGGAACGGCTAGTATCTCAAAAAAGAAACAGACTCTCACAAATAAAATATTGAAGTCTGAAGGAGCTTTCGAGACAACAGATGGAAAAGTTTACTTCACTGACCAACAGTTCATTATAGAACATCTCATTGACTTAGAGTCGAAATATTCTAAACTTTACAACAAACACAAAAAGTTGAAAGGAAAACAAAAACAAATGGCATATGATATTTATGAAGATGTTGACGACACAACTGTTCCTGCAGGTGAGGTAAAGTCAGAGGAACCGAAAAGTGACGAAAAACCGATAGAAGAAGAGAAACCAAAAACTGAAGATAAACCAAAACCAAAGTTTAGTTTCCAAACTAAACCAAGTCAACCTTCATTAGCTGGTATGGGTTGGCGTCAAAGACTTATGGCAGCAGGCGGTTACGTAAAGTAAAGAAAAAACATTTTTTTATTTTTATAAAAATGCCCCCATATAGAATGGATAGAAAATCTGCTAGAAAAAAGCAGAGTTAGAAAGATATGTTGGAAAGTTTCGAAGAATTTTAAATATAGGAAGGGAAGACCCATAAAAGTCTATGACAAACTGGCTGGTCTTCGCTATGAAATGGACTTAGAAACAGCACGCGCACAACTATCCAAACAGATTAGAGAGGTTAGAAGAAGAACGTCTTATGGACATACCTTTCGATGTTACTGAGCCTCAAGTTGAAGACACGACGGCTTTGCCAGATTCTACTGGAAACATGACGAACAATTGCATCCTTTGAGAAGGAAAAAAGGAAAAGGTGAAGACGCACATGCTCCCATGGAAAGAACAAGATATGCATATGAAAAGTATCGTGAAGTTAGAAGTCAAATTACATCTGGTCGAACCTTTACAGTAAACTTTGACGAAGGAAAGAACAAAGAAGGCTTCATGGGGTGTACTTGCTGCCATACAAGACGGAAATAAGAAAGGATACAATCTCAGATTGACCATAACAGATTTGGATGGTCACATTTACTATGCACATGGCAATGTCACAACAGCTGCAACTTCTTGACGCTTTCAAGACTACAAAGAGAGAACAAATGGTTGACTCCGACTCAGACATTTTGAATGCAATTGAAGGAATTGCAAGTGTCAAGTTCGAATGGTACCAACCTAACCCTCAAGCAGTCAGACAACATGCTGGATACTTCCCGTTCATAAATAAGTCTGACATTGACTTGACAAGGTATGGAATTTACAATTCAATTGAAACAATTGTCAATGAACCTTGTATTCTTACATGTCTCAGGAACTCTGGTCTTGTTACAGAGAGAAGATGAAGTATCTTGAGTCATGTGTGAAGACAAGGTACATTCTCAGAGGTCAATTGGCAAAAATTGCACCGTTGGCAAATGTCAATATCCGAGTCAACATACCTACAGCTAAAGGTTCTTCACATGACGACTATGTTGTTGACAAAGACTTACCATGGTTGAAGATTGTAATTGTCCACAACCACTTCATGTTGAACGAAAGTCTTACAAACCCATTGTTCGGAAAAGGCAAGTGCAACATTGTCAGAGCTGTAAACATTCTTTTCGAGAAAGGTTTGTTGGAACCAATTCCAGATGACAAGCTGACAGAAACTTTTGTACCAAAAGACGAAACAAACTTTTCATTGTTAGCAAGACCAAAAGTTGTTCCAGACAAAGTTATAGCACAAAAGAAGTACACTTCCAAAAGGAGTTGGATTGTTCGGATACCAACCTGAACCAGAAGAACTTCCAATGAGGTTGCAAGAACTTCAAGATGCTATAAACAAACTTCCATTGAGACATCCAATTGACGTCAAATTGTATTGGAGAGCATCTGAGTTAGGTCAGAAGGTTTTATATGAAACAGGTTGCTTCGACGATGTTTATGAGATAACAGGAGAAGTTTCTCAGAAGATAAGAGACTCACTTGAATTTCCACGAACTGGACCATTGGTTGCGACAAGTTCGACTCAGAAAAGATATACTATGTCGACCTTAACGCTGCGTACATGAGGTTCGTCCAATATATCCCGACTGGAATTCCAAACGAAGATGGTGAGTTCCCAGGAAGGAACTATACAGTTGGAAAAGTCATACAACAACTGTATGATATTAGGAAAGCTTCAAACCCCAAACTTGCAATGACACTCAAATTGCTTATGAATTCGACATGGGGATATTCCATTAAGAAACCTCAAGAGATGAAGAGTAAACATTATGAGAAGGTCGACAACTTTGTTGAAAGGTTTTCTCCTTTTGTTTTGAAGTACGAATTCACTCAAGGTCAAAGTGGCTTAGTAACCACATTAAAACCTATTGTCGAACATTGGTCTTACCCTCAGTTCGCAAAGGCAGTCCTTGACAACTACAACAAATTCTTCTCCGAAGTCAAATCCAAAGTGAAGGTTTACTATGAGAACATTGACGCACTCATGACGAACGAAGAAGGTATAACAAACTCATTGAAATGGGAATGGTCGGTGAAAAGATGGGTCAATTCAAATTGGACAAAATTTTCACCGAAGTTCATGTCCTCTCCAAGCGTAAGTACTGGGGCATACTTGAAGACGGCACAGAAATAAAACATTGCATGAAAAAAAAATTTTTATTCGAATTTGAATCGGACAGGTCGAGTTACACCATTCTTGGTCTCAAACTCATATATAACCTGTTTGTCTGTATTTTCGTCGACTATGGCACGAGACACGAACATTGACCAAACGGACAAAAAGTGTCATTTCAGATGGTCGCAGCCAATCGCATTCGAGCACTTCGAAGAAGCCTTACGTTCCAAGGGAGAGGGTGTCTGGTGCAAGGCAGAGGTCATGAGACTCTACGAGCAGTACATCCTCAATGCCTGGGAGGACAAATCGTCCTTGGATTGGCAATTCTACCAACTCCTCTGGGACGACCTCCTACGCAACTGGGATGACGAAAGAGTCCAATTCAGGGTCAGGAACTACTTGTCCAAATTCCTTAATTTAAGCTACTTATCAAATAAACACCTAAATTTACTCGGGGTTTCCCCCTAAAATAAAATTTTTTTACTCTTAGAACCACTCGAGGTTCTCCTTACGGTTGTTGAGCTTGTCACCGTCAATGTGTCTGACCTTCGTCTTCTTGTCTGGATTTGGAACCCATTGAATTGCGACAAGCTTGCCCATGGAGATTGAACCGCGATTCCGAAGGTTAAGGTTCAAGTGTCCCAAGTTGTTGAGGACTGGGGTAAGAACCTTGCCTGTCTCCTTGTTGCGGATTTTGTATGGGTAGGGTTGGGAAATTTCGTAACTGTCATCGGCAACAAGGGTTGCCCAAACTTCCTTTCTTCGTGTTTCTCTTCTTCCTCTTCTTCTCTTTCTCTTCTTCGTGTTTCTCTTCTTCCTCGACAATTCCTTCTTCAATTTGGTACTCACGAATTACGGTGTTGGAGGTTCTGTCCTTTCCGAGTACCTTCCAGATGGCGTCTATCTCTTCGAAGAAACGGTAGATGAGTCTGGCAAGGTCTCGGTTCTCTCTCGCGTAAATGCGCAAGGTTTCCGAAATCATTCAGGCTTTCTCATTGGAAGCTTGGTTCATGAGGACATCGGCTTTAAGTCCCTTCATCTCTTCCATAAGACTACTTTGGAGAGTCTTAACGGTGTTTGTCAGATGAGCTTTCAAATTCAAAATTTGAATTTGAACT